TTACTAATAAACTTTTTTTCAATAAATATAAAAATTAAAATTGTATCTTCTCCTTCAAAAAAAAAAGATACAACTATGAAATTGAGAGACTTTGTAATGAATATGTTGGTGAACATGGTGACAGAGAGTTTTTTTAATTTTATTAGTAAAATCATCTAAAATGTTGCAAGTACAGTTGAACTTTGAAACGTATAGGCTCGATAACCAAACTTGATCAATTATCAGACGTGGGACATTGGGGGGTATAACATGGCCTATGTAGATCAAAACTTGCTTAAAGAAGGTGCACGTGTGATGTCCTTGGACAATAAAATGTTTAATGAAAATAGATCTAATGAAACAGCGGGTGTGATAACAAGGCTGATGGATGTTGAGGTTACACTCAACAGCATAGTCAAGGTAATAGTGCAAAAGGAAACAACCCATTTTGAAATTGATGGAAAAAGAACTCCAGAAAACAATTCCTGCTCCAAAATGCCTTCCCATTGTAACCTTACCCTCATATAACCATCTCTATTGATAAGAACATATGGCCAAGCATATGTAGCATTGAGAAGAGCAAGCTCCTTGAATAACTTGAACATCCTGAAATTCGATTTTTCTCAAATAAACCATTCAAAAAGTGCTTTGAATGAGTATAAGAGATTGGAAAAAATTAATTGTGATGGATTGAAAACTTTAATGTAAAATGTTTATTACTATAGTAAATGTGATTCAACATTATTTTTTAATAAATATAGGCTTGGCTTATTGCAATATCTTATTATTTGTAATAAATATATTTATTATCTACATCATTTTCATCACAGCAAAGAAGTTATATTGAAATTGATTCGGATTTAGGAACTGAAATGCTTAATGAAGATGAAGTTATTGCTACAGTCCAAGAAATTATAGGGCCACCGATATTTAATAAGATCGCTTTAGAAACATTCAAATTCTATATAATTACTTGCAAATCTTGTCACAGTGGATGAACAGTTACATAAGAAAATTTAATTTTAAAATCTATTGTGGAAAGATTACCAATCTAATCTCGCCAAACGGATTCAGAATAATATAAATATATTAGATGAAACTTGTATTTTTGTATTTTACAATATGTTTATTTATTTTTTATTTTTGCAATAGTTTCGTATCATCAATTTTAGTCAGATCAGGAGGGTCCCAAAGCCTGGTTTCTTCAAAATATTTTAAATCTTTCCTTGATTTTGTATGAACCGCCTATTATTATTATTATACATGTTATTATAATTATTATAATATTAATAACATTTATTTCATTTTTTGCATTTACCTCAATTGCCCAATTTTCATTTTTTTTAATAATTGTCGCAATTTTTTCCATAATAAATTTATTAAAAGATCTAAAAGTTTTACTTAGTTCTGTTCGGACTCCTCCTCTTAACGATTCTACATTCCTATAATATTCTTCTGAGCAATATAATAATTTTATAAATTTTACCTATAAAACAAAAAATCAAAAAATAATTTGAGAATTCAATTTTTTGTATGGTTCCAACAGCCTGTCTCAAAAGATAAAACTTACCCTAAAGAATAAGAAATAAGATTGCTCATATGAACAAATACGATTAAATAACTTTAAAATTTGAATTATAATTGTTGATTTTGTTTCATCCTTATAAATTTCTTCTAATAAATCAATATAATGAGTAATGACTGAATCAGTTGAGAAGTTCTAAATATAAAATAATTTAGAAGTTAGAAAATTAATAATAATCATTATTATCACTATATAATTATCACTATATAATAGATTATTTATTCACTTCTTCAAACTCTCTAAAATCAAATCTTTCTTGAACATATTGGGATTGGTTTTTAACATAACTGTTATTCTCATTCTCATTCTCATCCTCATTATCCTTATCACCATTACCATCACCATATGCTTCTTCATCCTTATTACCTAAAAATTTTATAATATAGGATATGCGTATTAATAGATATGTATTTAAATGCATACATCAGCCACCCATAAAATACATGCTTTTTTGTTTTCTTTTTCTAACTTGTTTCTTTTTTCTAAGAAGCATTACTTTGGATTTTTTGGAATATGATTCCAACATATCCATTAGAACGTCAACTAATCCAACCACACTTTCATAATATCTACACATCAAGAGAAATATAGTGAGGGCAAGATTGTAAATTAATAATAATAATGATCATATTATCAACAACAAAAACAACTAATACATATTAATAATAATGATAGTTACCCAAATGATTGATCTTTATAATCCTTTGCCAATTCAAATACAAAATCTAGATTCAGTTTTTCATAATAAAGATCATCTTGAATATCGTATGCTATATCTCTATCATTTTCATCTGATGAAGCAGAAAGCATATTCAACGAAAACAACTATTGAACAACCAATCAACAAATCAATCAACCATTTAGTATTGGATATTCATCTATGAAATTTTTTTTTAAATATGTTGTATAGTATTACCATTTGTTTGAAACATTCTATTCCGAAATGAAGTTCAAGCCACATCTAAATAAAAAAATTATTACAACTTTATCATAAATCCCAAAAAATCATCTTTCTTGCCCCAAAATGCAAACCTTCTTTTCTTTAAGCATTCTCATAATTCTTATCACCAATGAAAAAGCTCTAGTAGTTAAAAGTTCTACAATTTCATTAAAATCATACTCCTTTTTGTTTTTAAATGATTGTATTATAAAATGCAGGTTGAGGAAAAATTTGACAATGTAGAAGAAATGAACAATTGGTTCTGGTCGATCAATTCTACCATGTTCTAAACCTTTCAAAATTGTTACCATCAAATCTATATATATATTCGTTGTTAAATTGGTAATGGCAAATAAATTCAATGTTATAAATAACATTACTTCAATGATAATACTTCAACAATAATGCTCAATAATAAATAGATTATAAATACCATTAAATCCATTTTTCAATATATTAATTGCCACTTCAAGTAAACAACTAACATCTTTTTTATATGTAAGATTTGATAATTTTCTATTATCAAATCCATCCTTTAAAAAAAAAGGAAAACACACGTCAAGATTTTTCAAAACATTTATAAATATAACTTTCATTATATTTAAATTTACCTGAGGTTTTTGTTTAGAAACTTTTTTACTTTTATTGGAATTCAATGCTTTAAATAATTTTCCACAAAATGCTTCTCGCTTATGAAGAATACGTTCTTCTCCATTCTACAAATACAATCGACCACACGCATATATAAAAAATTAGATTAGGTTTATACAACTATAATTATTTATATAATATATATAATACTTACAGGCATTTCTATCCACACAGCTCCGGAAAATTGTGAATGATTTTTGAGACTTTCAGCTTTCTTTCTATTCTCTTGCTCAAGTAACTCTTTGCATCTCTTGGCTCTTTTCTAATTATCATTAATAATAATTATAGTAAATTATAATATTGCCATATATCCAAATATATATACAAACTTATATATTTACCAATTTAGGATTATTAAACAAATCTTTTGCGTCGGAACTTAAAAAAATATGATAAAATATTTCAAGAACAATTGTATTTAAATGAATTTCATCTTTCTCTGACATCAGAATAACAAGAAGTTGAAGTATTTGGACCTCTTCACTCTTCAATATCATTATTAAATCATACTATTTAAATATTTAATATTTTTTGTTGGATGAAGAATGGATGGCGGAAACAAGATATATATTTTATTGTTACATGAATATAATATAATAAGAGATAAATAAATATCATTTATATATACCTGTAGTTGAGTTTTCTTGGTCTCATTTGGAATTGAAGTGGACTGTAGATCTTTAATGGCAACTAAGTTTCGAATAAAACTCATAATAAGTCTTACAATATTAATGTTATTTGCTTTCTTTTCTTTGCTACCGTCCATCCATACATAACACAAAATAATTATTAATAAATATATTATCATCTATAACACATACTAAACATACACAACATATTCATATAATATATATATAAATTCTCAACTTACTCATCATTTTGACTTAAAAATGTTACCAAGATAACAGCAAGGGATTCAATTACTTTGGGATTTTCTATAAATGCCAATTTATAATCAACTTGAAAATTTCTAATTTTTGTCATCTTTGCGAATGTATCCCTGTATTCGACCGTTTCTTCAAAAACGTCACTTTTTAATCCAATCGGATCAACTGGTTCAGTTAACAAGAAAAAAAGTTCGACTTTTTTTTGGCAACCCCCCCCCCAGAAAAATTTGATTAATGTATGTATATATTATGAATGTAAAATTTCTAAAAATTTCAATATTTACTGCAAATTTGTGTCCTGAGTAACTTTTTTTGATTATTAACGTCATCACAATTTAAAAGAAATATCGGAATTAAATCTTTCCGAAGAGTGTTTAAATGTCCAAGTTCTAAAAGAATATCATTTTTGAGATCACCTGAATTTCTTATATATTGCTTAAGATCTTTAAGGCAATCTGCATCATTCATTACAATTAACGCATAAAATAATTTAGCAAAAAAAAATTTTTTTTATGCATTTCTTTATAAAATGTAAACAAACTCTTTACTACCTAAATATTGAATTCCTGGTTTATAAATCTTTTTATCGCCAACTTGTTCGAAACCTCCAAGTGCTAAGGTCGAGTTATCAAGTTCTTTTATTGTCTCCTCTAAAATTTCGGTAGAATAATCTTCATAATCTTCATCCATTTTTTTTTCCTTTGTACGTGTAATAAAAAAAATGATAATATTATAAACACCAAAAAACGCGTTGAATATATTTGGCAAAATGTCGTAAAGTCATGTGATAAAAGTATTACGGTTTTTCGCGTGATCTTTAATTGCATTCATATTTGCGCAGCAATTTTTTATTCAAAGATTCTTAATATAAATTAAATTTTTTTTTAATTTTTTAAAATTAACAAAGTCTTTAAACAACATTACACAATAAAAAATTTATATCAAACAAGAGATCTTAAGTTGTTGTTACATCTAAAAATTTTCATTATCTAGGCTTTAGAGCAATTGTTAAAAAATCTCACATCAAGATTTTTTTTTGAATTTCTTTTATTTTTAATTGTTTTAAGTTCTAGAAAACTTAGGAATATAAATTTTATAAACATAATCTTCAGTGACTAAGCTGCACACTTATTATGTATATGTTTGTGTAATTAATACTTTTGTGGCTTTTGCCAAGGCACTGTATATATTTTTGGTGTATTTAATTTAATGCTTATTATTAATTACAAGATGAAGAGAAATTAGGTGTCTTTAAGCTGAATAATAACTTGTTTGCCTAAAATAATTTTTTAAAATTTATTTTGCCTGAATAGGAAATATAAAAAAATCACTTACCATGAATGTGCCTCAAATAACATTACTATATTGACTTCAGTTAATCTCTTTGCTGAAATTAAGAAAGATAAATGAGAAATTGCATTATGTAAATCACTTTTGAATAGGGATAAGGATGATGGTTCAGTTCAGTTTGACTAGTTGAGCCACATTGACTGGCAGTTTATTGATTTTATTACAATTTATAAAATAGTAATAGGTACATAAGGTTGGTAGGGATTTCACAAATTTCAAACATATTAAAATCCCATTGTTTTATGTGGCATTATGACTAAGATTGCTTGCTGAAACCTCTTAGCAACTGTCAAAACTCTGCATAGTGCCAAAACCCTCAAATGCAAAACCTCTTTGCTGATCAGAACCTGTAAGATTCAATTGCTCTTCATCTGAACTACCAAGTGCTGCCACAGAAAAAATAAAACATTTAGTAAACCTCTACCAAATGGATATTGTGCTCATCAGATGCCTGAAATGGTAGAAGATTGGATTAATGAATTAAAAAATGTTCTACAGAACCCTGATGAAATTTTTATAGAAGAGTTGCTGACAGCCTATGACCTTTTAAATGAGCAAGAATTTCTAAAAATTTAGCTGATAAGGTACAAATGGATATTGAAAAAGCCTTTGAAGCATTCAAAAAGTGGACGATTACATGGACTCACCTTCCACTTTGTGTATGTAGTCTTGGAGGAGAGAGTGGCCCCAAGTTTTCTCAAGCTGTTAGCCATATAGTATTATCTTGTCCTCTTCCTGATGAACCTACAATAAGGTTAAAAAATTATGTAGAAAGGTTAGAAAAAAATTTAGAAGAAGGAAGAAGAGATTCATTTGGATTATTTGAAGCATTAGAACAAAATGAGTTTAAAGAACAATTTGTTGCATTTTCGAAAGTTGATTACACCCAATTACAAAGGTTTCCATTAATATATGAATTTGTTAAACATCGAATTTGGTCAATTATAGTTCATCAACAACACACCAACTTTCAAATCCTACTCCACTAGATTTTGAAATCACTAAAGAAAAATTAACAGCAATTCAAGCAAAAAGGCAAGAGGAAACTTCTTTACCCACAGATCCCGCCATTGGGGAAGAAGCAGCTAAAAAATTGGCATGGAATTTTTTAATACCTAGAAGAAACTAACAATATTTTTTACTATATGTAGTAAATACCTTTAAATTTTGTAGTATTTTATTTGATTAAATAAATTTCCTTAAAAGGAAAAGAGTTTCAAAAAATTTTTAATGATAACTTTAATCCTCTTTATAATAATTTTTTTTACTAACAAAATTTAAAAAAACTCTCTGTCAGCCTATTCACTGAATCACAGAGAATAAGACCATAGAAAATTTTTTGCTTTATCTTGTTTGGTTATCAAGCCTATACGTTTCAAAGTTCAACTGTACTTACAACATTTTAGATGATTTTACTAATAAAATTAAAAAAAAACTCTCTGTCACCATGTTCACCAACATATTCATTACAAATTCTCTCAATTTTATAGTTGTATCTTTTTTTTTTGAAGGAGAAGATACAATTTTAATTTTTATATTTATTGAAAAAAAGTTTATTAGTAA